AAGCTCAAGGCACTGCCTTCTAGTTCAAGAGGGCACAGATCGTCAGTGGGATAGGAGGAGCTAGACTGTTGCTTTTCCAGTTCTGCCAATGTGCAAAGCCTCAAGGGCCAGGCTGACATTCTGAAGCGGAACAAAGCCACCTCCCCGCCATCCCTCAGCCCTTCCCTGCCCCAAGTGCTGGCACAGCCCTCCAGCAGCCTCCTGCCTAGCCCAGGTCTCAGCACACTCATTCCAACACTAGTGCAGCAGACACTTATCAGGCACCTGCAAGTGCTAAGGACACAGGGGTATTAGTTGGTGCCGGTCACAAAAGTTGAGGTCCTCAGAATTCTGTAGGTACCGTCTTAGTCACTGTCTGATGAGCGCTGGGACAAGATATCCGGCACCCACAACTTAAAGAAGAGGTTCATTTTGGCTCACAGTTCAGTCCATAGCTGACTGACTCCAAGCCAAAAAGGGCGAGGTGAGAGGGCCTGGTGGAGGAAAGATGCTCACATTGACAGCCAGAAAGCAGAGCAAAGGGAGGAGCCAGAAAGCCTTCCAGGTCACACCCCCAGGGACCCACCTCTTCCAACCAGACTCCACCTCTTTGTTTTTTTCTTGGTAAGGGGATTGAACTCGGGACATTGCGCTTTCAAGGCAGGCACAGTGCCACTGAGCTAAATCCTGGGCCAGACTCCACCTCTTAACAGCACTTTCAGCTCTGACCCCTTCAGTTAGCATCCCTATGATTCAATCACCTTCTAAAAGCCCAACCTCCGAACACATGAGGTTTTGGGGGGACATTCTAGATCTAAACTATAACAGTGCCATTGGGGAAAAAGGATCTGACCACAGGTATCCCTTCAGCTTCAAGCATGAGCTGTGTCCTGATTAGGACCCACTTTTGGTAAGTTACTGTGTTAGTCCTGAGTCCCCTTGTGCCGCCTTCTGTCAGGGGATGCGGGGTGGAGTCTTTTCCTCCTCTTGAACTTAGGCTGGCCTTATAGGTTAGTTTTCTAGTACTCTGTAACAAACACCAGCAATTTAGTAGTTTGAAGCAAGACCCATTTATGACTTCAGTGCCAGTAGGTCAGGAGTCTGGGCACAGCTTACTGGAGTCTGCTCAGGTCCCCAGGCTGCAAGTGAAGTGTCTGCCAGGATGCATTCTCATCCGAAAGCTCGAGTCCTGCTCCAAATGCATGGGTTGTTGGCAGAATTGAGACCTTGGCATTGTGGGACAGGCCCTCAGCTCCTGGAAGGTACCCACCATTCCTGCCATGTGACCTCCACAGCGGGGCACTTGGCTTCTTCAAGGCGGGTAAGAGAGCAGTTCTGCTGCTCTGAATCTCTCCCCTGGGAAAAGACCTGGCCCCTCTTTCCATGGGCTCCCCTAACCAGGGCAGACCAATGTAAACTCCCTTTTGAGCAATTCAAAGTCAACTGACAGGAACCCTTAATTCCACCTGCAAAGTCACATTACTTTTCCTGTATAAGCCAGTCATGGAGGTAAACTCCTAGCACTTCCCTAAGTCCCACTCCCACTCAGGGGGAGAAGATCATACAGGACAAGCACTGGAAAAAGGCAGACAAGGCAGGGAAACTTGAATTCATTCAGCTCACCATACCACATGACTTGCCTTGACCAATAGGATGTGTTGGGAACTGTGTTGCATAACTTCCAAGGCTGGGCCTTAGGAGCCTTTGTGACATTTCTACCTTGTGTAGCTCCTACTGCTGTTATAAGGAAGCCTGAGCCAGACTATGAAATGATGAGAGCTTTAGGAGGGAGGGCCAGCCAGCAGCCAGCACTAAGGCCCCAGACATGGATCACCCCTTGGCCTTATCTCTGACTGTGGCCATATTAGTGACCTTCACCAAACTGGAAAGAGAACTGGCCAGCTGAGTCTAGCCAACCTGCTGATCAGGAGAGATGATAAATCCTGTGTTTTAAACTACTACATGCTGGTGCTTCCTGCCATGGGCTTATTCCCTAGCACCACTAACTGGAATGCCCTCTCTGGGTAGATCAATGTCTCCCTCTTGGTGCTGGACCCAGTGTCAGAACTACAGGCTGTTAGAGGTGAAGGGGACTTTGTTTCACAGAATAGAGATGCTCTCTAGGGGCTCAGAGCCGCAGGATGGGCTTGGATTTAATAAGAGTCATTGACTGAAAAATGTTGTGAACCACCAAAATTGGCCAGTCCACACTGCCGTGTTGAAGCTGAGAAACAAAGACTTGGGGAGGGAAAAAGAACTTGCATGACATCACCCCACTGGCAAAAGGGAAGGGATGAAAACCCTGGCAGCCACAGTTCCCTGTCATCTCATCTTGGCACTCCACTAATGAGTCCCTGAGGGTCCCTGAGGGCTCCACCTTGAACAAAGCCCAAGCTCAACCAGTGTTCAAGTTCCTGCCAGTCTTTCAGGGCCATCCCTTGCTGTGTCCCCCAACTCAAGTTTCAGCAGGTGACTTGTCAGTCCCTGGGGCACAGGCATATTGGGGCTCTGAAGCACTGGCCCACCCTGCCCCCTCTCCCCAAGATGCCTTTCAGCTCTTTGCTAGCAGGCAGTTGGGAAGCCCTCTGGCCTCTGCTCCCCCAGGCTCATTTGCTCCCACGTGTCCTGTACATGTCTTTTGTGGAGGGCTGAATAATCCCCCCCCAAATATCCACATCCTAATCTCCAGCACTTGCAAATATGACACTGCATGTACCACATGCATTACCCCATAGAAAGGGGATTCTGCGAGTGTAATCGAGTTAGGACTGTTGCAAATGGGAGATTATCTTCAAGGAGCTCGAGGATCACCAGGTCAGTCAGTGGACAGCAAGGTGAGGGTGGAAGCGGAGGTCTGAGTGACAAAGCCACGCAGCTTCTAGAAGCTGCACAAAGCAAGAACAGACTCTCCTAGGGCCTCAGAAAGAAACTAGATGGACAATACCTCAGCTCAGCTCAGCGACGCTGATTTGGAACTTCTGACCTCCACAGCAATAATGTAATAAACTGAGTCCTCTCAAGCCACTAAGTTTGTGGTCATTTGTTACAGCAGCAACAGGAAACTCCTACATTGTTCTACCACCAGTCACACAGTGCGGCAGGTCCCTTTCTGCCCCACTTCCTCCTCGTCCTCCTACCCTGGAGCACCTTTGCTTCCTGATGGTTTAACACAAAGGTGGACCACATTGGGGGCTCAGAAATGCTGCTGAATGAGCTCACAAGTGGATTACTGTATACCCACTTCCTTCTGCGGCCCTCTCCCTCAGTCTGCACACACGCATGCACACACACACACATACACTCACATACCTGCACAACTCACCTACCCACCTTCAGGAGGGCAGCTCTGCTCTGACACCAAGGTCTCCTCAGCTTGCCAGCTAACAGCTGTTTCTCAGAAGCTCCGAGACTTTAAAGGAAGAGGGCTTTCTCTCCAGGTAATACTTGGACATATATTGCAGGGATGGTTGATTTAAAACTGCAAGAACGGGTGTTGTAGCATAAAAATATAAAAACCATTCTTCCTAATAAACAAGTGATGGAAGCAAGAATCCTCATCCTTACACACCCACTCACACTCCTCCTCACCCCACCTCAGCCCCCACAGCCCCTGAAATGTTGCTGAAATCTGTGATATGTGACAGTGATACCAGAAGATATCTAATTCCTATCATTAAGGGTGCAAAGAGGATTCCAGAACAGTGTGAATAGTATGATTGTATTTTGATTTAAAAATTAGATATATATGATATACACATACAATGTATATATGTGTACATATTCACTTACAAGTGTGTTTATAGTTCATCCCCAGTACAAAAAAAAAAAAAAAGACAGAGCCTTGTGAATCTTGTGAGAACAAGTGTGTTTATATAGACGTTGAACAAAGGTTTTGTGGAGATTGTGGATAAAAGGGATTTTTGGTGGTTTGGTTTGGGTTTTTGAGACAGGGCCTCCCTATGAGGTCCAGGCTGACCTCAAATGTACTATAAATGTAGTCCAGACGAAGTGATCTGCCTGCCTCCGCGCGGGTTTTTGTTTTTCTTGCAATGTTTTTTAAAGATTTGTTTTGCAAAGAACAAGACCATTGGCATAACAGAAAATAGAGTTTAAATTATTTCAAAATAAAAGGCACGGAAGGGTTCGTGTACCGGGCAGCCCGGCCCAGCAGCCCTTCCCTGAGTCTCCCTAGAGCAATGGCGGAACTATCAGTCCGAGCTATGGGCTGTAGGCCAGAGACGTGCCGAGGGGCCTGAGAACCAGAACGCATACACACGACCGCGAGGGCGGGTTCTGCCGAGTGACCCACGGACGACCCGCTCTGGACCCAGCCTGCGTTAGGGGCGTTCTCGCCCGCCGCTTTCCAGCCCCCGCTGCCTCAAGTCCTGTACGTGGTCGCCGGGCCTCCTGGGAGAGGCAGGTGTCGCTGGACTGCGGTCGTGCCCCGGACGCCCCAGCTCACTTCTGCCTCCCCGGCCCGATTCACTGCACCCCCCCATTTCCTACGGTGGCGTTTTTGTTTTAATTCATCTAAACTGGTTACAAAACCATACTCCCACGAATACATAAATAATGGATAAGGATGGGGGGTAATGTCTTAAAGAAATTCCCGCAAGGCCTGGCAAGGCAACAGCAAATGCATTTCTGCTGTCTCATATTTAACTGTTTGCAAACTTCTACAGGAGGATGCGCAAGACTGTAGACTCGGGTTCCATCGCACTTCCCCGTCTGGGCCTGGCAAGACTTGCATGGGGGTTAAAAGAAGGGGAGAAGGCGGCAGCGACCGGGGCCGGTAAGATGATGGGGAGCAGTGTACCACTGCACTGAGCCTCAGCGGCTTGGCGCAAGCCAGCCAGCCGTCCACCGGTCTCCCTCCCCGGACCCCACTGCCAAGCAAGGCCCCTTTAAGAGCCAGCGCGCGCCCCCGCCCCGCGAGCGCTCACTTTCCCTAGCAACCGCCCCGGGGGAGGGGGAGGTCCTGGCAACGGCGCACTGGCCGGGTGGGTCACGTGACGGCCCGCCGCTGGAACGCGAGCGCGCGCCCCGCCGGGGCCTGTGCGCTGCGCGCGTGCGCGAGCGGTGCAGCACCGGCCGCGGGAGCCGGGAGTATTATGGGCTGTGGGTGCTGCTGAGCAAGATGGAGCTGTCTGCAGTGGGCGAACGGGTCTTCGCGGCCGAATCCATCATCAAGCGGCGGATCCGCAAGGTGAGCCTCCGCTTGGGGCTGGTGCCAGGTCCGCGGGACCACGGGGAGAGGCGGTCCCGTTAGCCCGGCCTCCCCCGGGCCGCCGCCTGCGAGCGTCCCGCATCTTCCCCACCCCCACCCCCATTTTTCCCCCTCTCTGTTTTTCAGGGACGCATCGAGTACCTGGTGAAATGGAAGGGGTGGGCGATCAAGTAAGTGGCGCGGGGCGCGGGGCCGTGGGGGAGGGGCGGCAGCGGCCCTGGGCCGTGGGGAAGGGACGCGCGTGGGCTCCCTCGCCGCTCGCCTCTGCCTCCCGGGTTTTTACGTCGGTTTTGTGCACGCGTGGCCCTGCAGGTACAGCACCTGGGAGCCCGAGGAGAACATCCTGGACTCGCGGCTCATCGCCGCCTTCGAGCAGAAGTGAGTCCGGCCAGCTGGCAGGGCGCGGGCGGGAGGCGGGGAGCCGGGAGAGCCGAGCGCGGGCCGGGGCCGGGGCCGGGGCCGGGAAGGGGCTCCCGGTAACCTCTAGTGTTTCTTGGCCGCAGGGAGAGGGAGCGTGAGCTGTATGGGCCCAAGAAGAGGGGACCGAAGCCCAAAACTTTCCTCCTGAAGGTAACCTGGCGCGGCCCCAGCAGCCCCTTGTCGGGCCCCCATCCCTGCGCAGCGCGGGGCCTGGAAGGGAGGGACAGCTCCGCGGCCGCCAGGCGGGCGGGCTTTGCAGAGGCCCCAGCTGGGCAGGGGGTGGCGGGGAGCCCCGGAGCAGGCCCTGGCAGCGGGCCGCGGCAGGCTGAGCAAGCGAGGTCGGGGAGTGGGGATAATCCTCGTGAAGGAAGCCGGCCTCTGAGGGCGCACAGGGCTCCAGGATGGGGGTGGGAGAGGATGCCCACGGGAAGGGGTGGCAGGGGGCTGTTTCTGCCCTGTGTTTCCTCACTTGCCCTAGCCTTGAGCGCTGGGGCTGTGCCAGTGGGTGGAGTGTGAGCAGCACGCTGGGAGAGGTGCTTGGGAGACCACCTGCTCCTGCCCCCAGCTTCTTGCCTGTCTCGGGATTTATCCTGCACTCTCCCCGCCTCACTCGGGGTCCAGTTTGAGTTTGACCTTAAATCACTTCAACTTGATTATCAATCAGCCTGGGCCACAGACACTTGGGAGCCCTGAGCCTCAGTTTCTCCCCCTGCCCTGGAGGTTTAGTCGGGATGGGGTGGGGCAAGTACAGCCTGTTTACCTTGGCAGGGGAGGGAAGAACTTCCAGAGGAAGCCATTTTAGGGTCTTGGGGATATTGGTGAGAAAGTCTTTTCCCAGTCTGGGAAAAGGAGAACAAGAGGTGACAGGCAAGGCCGCAGGTGGAACTCACTGGGCAGGCTCTGTCAGTCTCCCTGTAGGACCAAAGGTGTGTCCAGGCCCTTTCCACCCAGCAGCTGGTGATTCTGTTTCTTTTCCCACCCAGGGAGGGCTGTTTTTGGAGAAGAGACTGCAGAATGCAGAACCTCTAAATCTCCAGATCATCTAAAAAGCTCAAAGCCCATGCAAGGTGGGGTGGGCCTATCCAGCTCACTCTGCCTCCTCTCCCAGGCGTAGGACCACATGTGTAGGGTTTGCTTTGGGCTTAATGCAGAAGTGAAAAAAATATTGCTTTCCAGAATTCCATATTTCTGTAACCGCTTCCCACAGTCACTGCTCGTCTTAGGGAATCCACCGAGCTACCTTAACCCTGGTGCTTCTCATCGGGAGAGATGGGGCTGGGCTGGGGCGGAGCAGCTGGAAGGCTGGTGGGCTGTGACAGCCTCTCAACGCATCTAGAGCGCCCTCTAGCGGTGATGTGGTGATGCTCAGGAATTTTAAATCGCAAAACACCTTTTTGTGATAGTTTTCATTCCTGAGCTCTTTTATGGGCCCAACACAGTGCTGAGCCCCCTGCATGGATTGTTTTCTTTAATTCTCACAACCCTGTGAAGTGAGGAATGTTAGCCCATTTCACAGATGAAAACAATCAAGGTCTAGCCAGGCATGGTGGTGCACGTCTGTAACCCCAGCACTTGGGAGGCTGAAGCAGGATTGCCGTGAATTTGAGGCCAGCTTAAATTACATAGTGAGACATTGTCTCAAAAAAAAAAAAACCCCACAGAGGGGAGATAATTTTCCTGAGATCTTGCCACCCAGCTTCCTGGCTTCATCTCTTTCTTCCCCTTGTCCCTCAAGGAGTACATGTCAGGTTAAGGGGCAAAGGTGGGGACATGCAGAAGGGTTGTGGAGATGGAAGAGATGGTGGGGTAAGGGGTATGGAGAGTCTGATAGCAGCAGCACCCTGACCCAGACCTTAAGAGACAGGTAGCTTGGTATTTGCAAGGGGTGGAGGAGACAGCTTGGGCTGAACCATTGTGGTCTCCATTGGGCAGTGTGGCAAAGTCAGCAGGTTACACCCAGCTCTTTCTGCTGGGAGCCATAAAGGGCACAGAGCCCATAAGATAGCTTCCATTATTCCCATTCCACACTGGGAGAAGCTGGCCAGCGAGGTTTCATAACTTGCCGGTGGTCACAGTTGACATCGGGAGGCCAGGTGCTTTAGCCTTTCATGCTGTCTGCAGTGCACAGCAGCCCTCGAGGACATGGCTGTCACCCAGCCCAGTGCTGCAATAAACATGTTGGCTCCAATTCTTTTTAGTTCAGGCAAATCCAGGTCCTGCTTTCAATTAATTTTTAACCTGAGGGAGAATTACGGCTCTTACATATTATTAGAATAACATTGAGAAATTGTAAAGGAAGAAGTATTTCTTGTAGAAAATTTGGGACGCACACATTGAAAAGGGATGATTTGTCATAAGCCCAACCCCCTGGGGCTCATTGGGTGTGAACTGAGTATTTGCTGTATCTAGGCAGGTGCCACCTGCCATCCGATGGTCACAGATATGCTGTGGGAGGTCCTGTTCTGATTGCAGAGAGGGAAAGTGAGGTCCAGGAAGTTCATCCTGCATCTCCATTGTTCCACACTGAACCTAGTTACAGAGGCAGGGTGCAGAGAGAGTAAACCCCAACTCGAGGGTCAGAAAGAGGGGATCCTCTGAGTGCCAGTGGGAATGTACTGCAGTGAGCCCTGAGCTTGCCCCTACCTTTGTCTAGGAAGGGGTGTGAGGGCCTCAGCCCCTGGGGAGCAGTGGAATCCAGTCAGCATCATCCCTGTGTGCTGCCACCTAGTGGCCAGAGGGATTGTAACCCAAGCACCCCCAGGTGATGGCAGCCTGGGCCTAGAGGACTCTGGCATTAGAGTGTTTTTCCCCAGGGGAGTGAGGGGCACATTCTAAATGAAGACATTCCCACTGGATAAGGCAGTCAGTCAGCAAACACCTGTTCTTGGGTTATCAGATATCCCCCCAGTACTGATTAAGCACCCAGCTCTGTGGGGAATAGGAATTAAGAGTGGCCCCAAAATGCCCCACATCAGGGTCCTCACAGACTATGGAAATATGTCCTTCCTTGGCCACCACTATCCCCAACTGGATCAAAGCGGTCACCACCTAACTAGAGCCAGGGGATGTATAGACCTGAGGTCCCCAGTGAAACCTGAGGTCAGCCATCGCTTGATGGTTCTATCCTCACACCACTGGACCATGGCCCACAGGCCTCCCTCTGCCTCCACCTCATGTTTTCACAGGCTGCCATGGCCTAGGGAGCTGCCTGGGCACAGCTGGTGCTCTGCAAGGGCCACCCAGGCGTCAGGACCCATATTGGCATTGCCCCCTCCACGTCTGGGATCTGTGCCCTGGCTGGGTTCCTCTAGGCATCTGTACTTCATGTGTTGCACCAAGCCATTCTGCATGTCTCTGTCCCCCCATGAGAGATCACAGCCCCTTGCAGGAAGCTATATGTAAGCGGAGGACAGCTTATATGACCCTGGGACATCCTCACTCCATTTGGGGACTTCTGACACAGAGCGTGTTGGATCCTGGAGTCTTTTGAAAACCCTGCTGTACCCTGCATCTCCCATGGGAAAGCAGATGAGCTGCGCAGAGCTCTGGGGCTCTGGAGAATCCCCAGCCCTGGAAAGAACCTGGGACTGTTCTCGAGGCTGCCCACAAACCTTGCCTCAGTCCCGCCCACTGCCATCTGGGCATAGAGATGTGGCGTGGTTGGGCCACTTACAAGCCTGTCCACACCAAACTCATGTCTGACCAGGTTGGGTTCCACCTCAGGCTTTGGGGTACAGGCTTTGGAATCCGCTGACCACAACTCATTGTGAGCCAAGCCCAGGCCACATAGGTGAAGCAGACCCAAGAGGACACGCACAGAAGCTAGGAGCATGCAGAAGGGGGCTAGAGGCCGAGGGGCTGTCCAGAGGTGTGGGTCACTAGGAAGCGGGTCGGAGCTGGAGGTCAGTCAAGACAAAGGCAGAGGGACATGGGGCACTGGGGATACTAAGTAGGCAGGGCTAGGTACCAGGGGAGCAGCAGGGACTCGCCCTCTTTGCTGTCACCAGGAATTGGTCCCTAGAGGCATCCCAGGCTGGACTGGGATCCTTCCCAGAGGAGCTGACCAGTGCCCTCAGCAAGGGCTCCCCACAGGTGTTGCATCCTGATTACTAACACTGAGCAGGCTGGGGATGAACTGAATCTGTCCCCAGGACCCCCAGCCCGCTTGTGGGGTAGAAAAAGTCTGAGACTTGGAGTTGGGCCTGACCCCCACCTTAGGCAAGTTGCGTCACGTCCCTGGGCCCATTTCCTCTTCTAAGTTGGAGTCCTAGGTACCACTGACTTGCTTCCTGTCCTCTTCGTGGATTGAGAGACTTGTGTAGGGCAGGCTCAGAGGTTAGCGGGAAGCCCTGAGGTCCCACCCTCACCCCTCTGCCCGCAGGCCCGGGCCCAGGCAGAGGCCCTCCGCATCAGTGATGTGCATTTCTCTGTCAAGCCGAGTGCCAGTGCCTCCTCACCCAAGCTGCACTCCAGCGCAGCCGTGCACAGGCTCAAGAAGGACATCCGCCGCTGCCACCGCATGTCCCGCCGCCCCCTGCCCCGTCCAGACCCCCAGGGAGGCAGCCCCGGCCTGCGCCCGCCCATCTCACCCTTCTCTGAGACGGTTCGCATCATCAATCGCAAAGTGAAGCCACGAGAGCCCAAGCGGAACCGCATCATCCTCAACCTGAAGGTGATAGACAAGGGCCCAGGTGCGGGGGGCACTGGGCAGGGCCCCGGGGCGCTCACCCGCCCCAAAGTCCCCTCAAGGAACCGCGTCATCGGCAAGAGCAAGAAGTTCAGCGAGAGCATCCTGCGCACACAGATCCGCCACATGAAGTTCGGAGCCTTCGCTCTCTACAAGCCCCCGCCCGCCCCGCTGTCGCCCCCGCCCGCCAGCAAGGCTGACCTTGCTGCGTCCCCAGGCCCGGGGCTGCTCCTGCCCACCCCCACGGCCACCTATGATGCCCGCAGCTCCAGCTCCTCTGGCTGCCCCTCGCCCACACCTCAGTCCTCCTCAGACCCCAACGACACACCCCCCAAGCTGCTCCCGGAGACCGTGAGGCCCTCTGCCCCCGAGTGGCACGAGCCCGAGGTGCTCGACCTGTCCATCCCTCCCGAGTCGGCAGCCACCAGCAAGCGGCCACCTCCTGAGGTCACTGCCGCTGCTGGCCAGGCACTTCCCCCAGCCCCGGAGCCCACTGGTGCCTCCTCTGAGCTGGAGGCCGGGAACTGGCGCCCGGAGATGTCGCCTTGCTCCAATGTGGTAGTCACCGACGTCACCAGCAATCTCCTGACGGTCACTATCAAGGAATTCTGCAACCCTGAGGATTTCGAGAAGGTGGCTGCTGGGGTAGCAGGTGCCGCGGGGGCCATTGGTAGTGGGGTGAGCAAGTGAGTCCCCCCAGGAGGGAGGCTTGGGGGGCTCCTGTCCGAAGTCACACTTGTGCTCCCACCCCACCCCTGCCCTTAGACCCGTCTGCCTGTGCTGTGCTTGTCTCACGTGGCTCGGTGTTGACCCAGAGATGGGGCTGGGCAGCTGGCCCCTCAGGGGCCAGCAGGTGGGCCAGTCCTAGACTAGGTTAGGGCTGGGGCAGGGCCGGGCGCTGAGAAGTGCTCCCTCGTCTCTTGCCACTGCCCCTGCCCATGCACAGTGGGGCCTGCTGGGTGGTCTCTGGGGAGCCCCAGACCTGGGGTTCCCCTGCCCCATCCATATCCCACCCCGCCGTCCCTCCCAGCTTGCTTCTTGCTCTCGTGTACAGCATCTGATCTCGGTGCTAACCCAGCAGCTGAGGGGCCCTTAGGAGACCCCCACCCAGGGTGGGCACAGCCCCTTCTGCCCATTTGGCAAAGCCCCAGACAGAGTGAAGGACGAGGCCAGATGGGCTCCTCTCTCCACACCAGTGAGCTTAGCAGCCACTTTTGGGCCAGTTCCATGCAGGCCCCTGGTGCCCACCCCTGCCTTTCTGAACCCCTTTTGAAGGCAGGAGGAGCTGACAGAATGCACCCTGCCACCACTTCTGGGCATCTAAAGCCCTTTTAGTTCTCGACCAAAGGTGCTACAAGAACCTACTGTGGAGACCCCAGCCGTGCATGTGTGTCCGCCCTGGGCAAGTGTGTACGTGGATCTGTATGTGCGTTGAGTGCTGGGTGCCATCCTTTCCTGATGGTACCTTCACACCTCTTCGGAACAGGGTCCTAAAGGCCTGGTCCTGGCCCACCTTAGTGGGGCCTGGCACAGCCGGGTCTGGGCAGTCTGCTGTGGGAGCCCCAGTGTTCTGGGGCCAGTGAGCCCCAGGCCCCTCTCTCCAGTGGTCAGCCTGGCCAGTTGGGTCTGCCCTGCAGTCATTGCATGGTGGGGACTGTGGCAGAGAGCTGGTGTCCACACCGGCCTCCCCTTCTGCCCAGTGGTCAGGGAAGAAGGAGGAGACCTTGGAGACTTCCCGACTGTCTTCAGCTTCTCCCACCCTTTCTTGGCTTCTGACCGCTGAAGCTTTTTCACAGCCCAGCCTGCTCAAAGCCACAGGAGGCCGGGATGCCCTGGGCAGCTTCCATTGCCCTATGCTGCCTGGGCACCAAGGCCTCCATGCCAGCAGCAGTGACCAAAGCCCCACTTTTAGGCTGGGCACCGGGAGGTAGGCAGACCAAAGGGGAGAGACCACATGTTCCAGATGGCAAGGAGATTGGTCACCAGGGGTGAACTGGCCTACTTTCGGCCACTGCCTAGGATTTGGACATGGGTGGCACATTCCTGTGTGTGGCTGGAGCTGGTTTCTTGTGTGTGCAGCTGTGGGTACCTCGTTCAGAAGCAGAATGACAAGAGGCAGGTGGGAAGGGAACCCGATCAGATGACCAGCCCTTGGTCCTGAGAGGAGGACACTTTCTTCTGAGTCTTCCTGCGAGGGCTGCAGCGTGGCCTCACCCTCCCCAGTGCAGGGTATAGAACAGGCCCTCACAGGGTTTGAGATGGTGGCACTCCTGGGTCCCTTCCTGCCCTGCCCTTTGTGCAGGCCTTGTGACCGTCCAAGTGCCAATTGGCTTTTCCCCAAAATAAGGGCTGGTATTTCTCCTCTGTCGGTAGAGGTGATTTCCCCCTGACCCCTTCCCGGGTACGACTTACCTGGGTACAAGTTACAGGTGTTTCCAGAGACCATAGAAATGTGTTTTCCTGAGAGTCTGTGTCATTGGTGACTTTTTTTGTAAAAAAGTTGTGTTTTCAGAGGTGATTTTATGACAGGAAAGTGAAAGAATTAGTTTTACAAAAAAAAAAAAGGGAAAAAAAAGAAAAAAAAGAAAAAAAAAAGAAATAGAAAAAACTATTGCGGGATTCCTAAGGGAGCGGGGTGGGGGGAGAAAGATATTTAAAGAGAACCTAGTAGCGCGGCATTGCACAGCCGAGGTGGGGAGGTTAGGAGGGGCATCCCGGGCCTGGGGCTGCTGGCAGCTTGGACCCAGCCTGGCCACTGGCCACCTCTTTGGCCCAGGTGGGTGAGACTTCCCTGCCAGCCTGGGCCAGACTTCCACACCCGTCCTTGTCCTTGCTTGAAGGGAGAGGCCATAGCCTGTCCCAGGGGAGCTGGCCTGAAGCTGGGGTACCAGGCAGATAGAGGGCGAAGGCTCCGTGACTTGGGACCTGAGGGGGTCCACAGGGTCCTCCTCTGGCCTGTGGTTGATTTTCTCCAGGAAGCCTGGAGAGTTCTTGCTCTCCTCCCTTTGCCAGCTTGTTGGTCCCTACCACTGCCACACCATGAGGGGGGGCAGCTCCCCCATCACCCCAAAGACCCTGACATCCCTGAGCTTCCCTGGCCAGGAGAGGGATGCAGGCTGCAGAAAGCTGTGAGCCCCAGGAGACTGTGACTGGAGTGGTGGGGAGAAGGCATTGCCCATGTCTTTCTGAGGCTTTCCAGGGGCCACACCATGCACGCACAGTGCCTGGAGGTGGGTGCTCCCAGGGGGCTGGGTGGGGACGGGATCAACAGCAAGCCAAGCCACCCTCTGTCCCCAGGAGGTGCAGTGCGGCCCACACGCCCTTGACCACACACTTGCATGTGGATCAGCCTCCTGTGGGCCCCTTCTCCACCCCTTGCTGCTTTTCCATTTGCCTAATTACCAAGCAGAAGTTGCAATCTGGTTTGCTTTATTTTTGTATGTGAAATAACCCCCAAAGCCCAAGCTCCCGAGTCCAGTGTTTCTTGGGCATCGGTTATCTCCCCTTAAATGCACCATCCTCCTTACCCACGAGTCATAGGAATTAGGCGAAGTCTGGTGTATCTGGGTTGAATGAAAGAGTGGGGACCCATCCCTGTCTCATTTCCCCTCTGACCTCAGTCTGCCCTCCACGGAGGGGGTGTTCTGGGCAGCAGGGCCCTGGCCAAAGCACTGCTGGCGTTTAAGGACCAAGGGTGCTCCAGGCTGCTGGCCCAGGGCTTCCAGGCACCCACAGGCACCCTTATTCTCAGCCCTGCAAAGGGGTCGAGTCAGAATGAGCCTCTTCCTCCCCTTCCCTCTGATCAGGGAAGAGGTGAGGATCTCCAGCCTCCCGGGCATGTGGGCAGAGTGGAAGGGACCACCCCATTTCAGAGGCAGCTAAGCTGCTTCCCTGGGGTGACATGGCAGGCCTATCGCCCAAGCTGACCTGGCCTCTGGGGAACAGCCCTTCAAAAGGGGACCCCAAGGCCAGCACAAGGGGGATCCCTGAGCTGGGCAGCCCACAGCTGGAGGGTCAGCCCAGAGAAGGAAGCTCGGTCAGCCCCAGGTGGCTGGGCTGCTGCCGGCCTTTCCAACCTCTCTGGTCACCCAAGAAGATGCATCCCATTCTTCCCTTTTCTGTGGTTTGGTTTTGGGAGTTTGTTTTTTTTCTTTTTGCACTTCGCCCATGCTGGACAGTGGAGCCCTGCCTGCCCAGTTCTGCTCCCGGGCTCTCATGCACTAGCCCAAGGCAGCCTCTTTGGGGCTTGTATGGTTTAAGGAATCACTTTAAAAAAAAAAAAAAAAAAAAAGATGTTTAAGGGTTTTACTTTTTGCTGTTTGCATCTCCCCTCAATTCAGAAAGCCCAAGATGAGGGGCTATAGCCCCAGGAGAGGGCTCTCTGACCCTTTTCTTGCTAACACTGAGATATGGAAGTTGGGAGCCAGTTGGGTAGGGGTCCCAGACCCCACCTCCCAGCCTGCTTATCTCCTCGAGCCTTGAAGGAGTCAGCACTCCGCTCCACCAGAGAGTGCGCGCCTACTGTATGCAGAGCATCAGCTAGGCTACAGGGTCTGATGGTCTAGTGGGGGAAGCCACTCCCTAGGGGCCAGGTGGGAGCATGGAGCATTGGCCTGGCCTTGCTTGCTGTTGGGTGCAGGGGAGATGGAGACTTCTTTTGTTGGTTTTAATTTAAAAACACAAAGGCCTGAAGAAATATGTATCTTATAATTTTTTTAATTTTTGAAAAGCTCATTTAATGAATTGTGCACGAATGAATTCTATATATATAAAAATATACGTATATAGCTCTATATTTGGGGAGGGGCACTGTCTCTTTTTCTCTCGCATTTTTAAGATGAAGTGTTGTTGCCTTTGTCTGTGGTTCAACCATCCAGCTCCCAGCTGGCTAAACTTTGCCTCCAGTGGTTAAAGATGGGAATGTAGTAGGCTGGCAGGGGGGAAGTGGGGATGGGTCCCCCAGTCCACCCTGCCCCTCCCTGGTGGAGACAGAGGGCTTATTTTGGGTGTGGGTTTGGTTCTCTTGTTCCGGGTTCAGTGAATTCTGAGCCAGGGGAGGGCGGGTTCGTGCTGATTACTCTGTCTTGTATGTTTTGTTCTGCTGCTCTTTAATATTATATGCCAGGAAAGGGGAGTGAAAAGCCTTTTACCCCCAAATAAAATGTCACATTCCAAAACTACAGTCCAGCCCCCAGAGTGGGACGCATCTGCCTCGTTTTTTCTGCTGCGACTGTGATCATTAAAAAGCATCAGGTCCCACTGGACCTCTCCTGTCACAAGTGAGGAGGGGCAAGCCCTGTCCCTCCACTGGCCAGTGGCAGACCAGCCTTGTGCTCCTTCCAAGTCCTCCCCCGAGGTGACCTGAGCCAGGGGTACAGGACACAAGGGCGGTTAACACCGGGACTGCCACTTCCCGCAGCCTCATGAGACTGACTAGTAGCAAGTGGGAGGGAGGCTGAGGGTCCCTCCACGCCCCTCCCCCAGTTGGAATAACAGCATCCTTGGAGAGAACAGACCATGGCGTTGTCATAGGCCAGGAAGAGGGCACAGCAGCCTTTACCAGTGGTCCCCTCAGTCTGGTGCTGTGTATTCCCTTAACAAGCAGCCCTCACAGCTCTGAAGAGAGCCCTTGGCCTTTGCACTGTGTGCCCTTGGTGATACATGGAGCCCTGTCCCCACCTGTAGGTACAAAGCAGCAGCTCCAGACAAGCTTCTGGAAGTACCTTCCCCGGATCCATGTTGCCCCCGCCTGGCTGCCACCTTGGTGCCTTGAGCACCTGCCTGCCTCAGTAGTCTGCTCCCAGGAAGCCCTCATTCAGTACTTATTTTCTAAAAACCCTGAATTGCCAGTGTACCTACTATGTGCCAGGCTCTGTGAGTACCACACTCGCTTGGCCCACGGCCCTCACCCATCAGGAGGAGGTCAGAGATGGAGCAAGGCCTTAGTTCATCCGCTCAAAGTGGCCCACCTGTCACCCTGGCCCATTAGTTTGTCCGACCCCTGTGCTTTCAGGAATGGAGGCCATGGGCTGCCCTTGGGAGCCAGGTGCATCCTAAAAACGGTCACTGCTGTCCCTTACTGCAAGTCCTGCCCCTACTAAGCTGCTAAGTCTGCTTCATGGTTGAGGGATAATCGAAGTGCTTAGCAAGCCCAACACATAGCCCACCCCACCGGAGAGGAGCCAGGTGGGGAATGCATGGGGACTGGGGGAGAACACTGACCCCCAACCCACGCTGGGAACTGAACCCAGGCAAGCGTGCTACTGAGCTACAACCATGACCTGAGGACCGCTATTTCGCAAAACTGTCATTTTTTTGAAAGTGAAACTTTAATGGTTTTTTGATCCTTATCAAGCTGTGCCCAGAGTGAGAGGGGAGTCAGAGATGCCATCAAAATGTCAAGCCCCCTCCTGGTCCAGAGAGGAGCCTGTGGACTGAGTCCATGCCCTCTTTGTTCCAGCTGCTGGCTTCTGAGAGAAGACACTTCAAAAGGCTGCACAGCCCACAGGGGCTGGGCACAAGGACACCTGGCCCACAACAGTGGGTAGCAAAGGAAGTGACAGAGGAGGGGCCGGGTCCTGGCCTCCAGGCCTCTGAGTGCTCTGAGCGTCTTTGCAGGAAGCTGTGAGCTCAGGACAGTCCTAGGGGAACAGAGGCCACTCGGTGTGATTTGAAATGACCTTCACCAAGGATAATGAGGTATGGAACCCAGCCAAGGCTTGGGGACAGTGGGGTGTGGCCAGAGGCAAGGGATGTTTGGAATATTTAGGATTTAGCAATGGATTGCCTCAGGATTTTCTAGAGGGAACTTCTAGAAATGTAGCTGGGTATCAGATGTAGTCAAAGGAGCTGGTAGAGATGCAGGAACAGGAACTTGGCAAGTAGGTGGCCTGGGGAGGTAGCTTGGGTTTGGGACACCTTGGGAGTGAATCACGCAGAGGGCCCAGGGGGATTTTCACACATGAATTCAAGGCTCAGAGCAAGTTTCTGCCCATAGGCACTGCTCTAACTGCTGTGAGTCTGCCCCTGGCTGTGCCTCAGCTCTGAGATGACAGTCACCACCCACCCTGGAAGGACAACTAGACAGGTGCTTAGCTTTAGGGGGTCACTGGGAAATTAAAGAGCCCCATACCAGCCCTAGGCCTCCCACTCCTATCTCCCCTGTTTCATGCCTTTTATCTCAGGGTGCAGCTGGGTAAAATGAGGCACGTGGCTGGGGGATGATTAACCATGTTAGGGGAGGACACAGGGTCCAGGAGCTTCAGGAGGGTGTGCTCACGGTCTGCAGACAGTGGGATTGGATGGAATCTGCTGTACCTCACAACATTAGAGACACTAGATAAAATGTAACAAGCACCCTTTTAGAGACCTGATTTTCCAAGACACTAAAAAAAATCCCCAGGGACTAAAAACAAAAAAAGTCAGAATGACAAGCAGGTATGGATCCTTTGGGTTCCCTGCGAGGTGGGGGATGTGGGGGCTGGAGTTCGAGGAAGAGATGGCCTTTTCTGATCTTGGGAACCAAGGATTTTACACCTCCATAGCAGTGGGAGATGAGGTCTGGGGCCCTTGAGGTCTGGGGCCCTTGCCAGCAGAGATACCAATGAAAATGCCTGAATAAAACTGGACCTGCATCCTCCATGAGAATGCAAACCTAGGGCAGAGGGAATCACTGTTTTGCAAAGGGCACTGTCAAAGATGTTGTCTGTCTCATTTCTGGCTCTGTTGAAACACACAAAAAGAATTCTCTCTTGAGAAATGATAAGTCTAGACCTTCCCTAACACAAATTTGAAGTGTGAATTTGTATTTCTCACATGGTCTCAGAACTCCTAAAGCTTGAAATTAATATAAGAAAACAAGCCTGGGTGGGTCACACCACAGAACATGTGGCAGTAGCAAATACAAGCTCGCTGGAGGCCATCACCACTACCAAAGCCACATGGGAGCTTCACAGATACAACCTAACAGGAACTCATAACAAAATTACAAAACAGAGAAGCAAGCCATAAGCAGCAGAAAAACAACATATATAGGATTCTGCACCCAACACATTGTTTACAATGTGCACTGAAGATTTCAAAAAATTATTATGTATATCATAGTGCAAACATAAAGCAAACCTCAATAAATTTCTAGAAACTGACACCACGGTTCAAGGTTGTTAGGTTAAAAATCAACAGCAAACAGTAATCAATGTTGTACTGGAGTAAAGATAGACATATAGACCAAAGGAATGAAACAGACCTTCCTATGTACATCGTGAAATAGCTTTTGACAAGGGTTGCAAAAGTAATCAGTGGTGAAAGACACTCTTAACAAATGGTGCCAGAAAAACTGAATATCCATATGCAAAAGAACTAAGTTGTATCCTTACTTAGAACCATATACAGTCGGTCACTCCTCAGGGTCCATGTAGACTGATTTCAGCCCCACCCCCACGTCTACCAACATCCATGTTCAAGTTCCCTGTGTAAAATGGCATAGTGTTTGCATATAACCTATATACATCATCCTAAATACTTTAGATCACCTCTAGATTGCTTACAATGTTCAATACAATGTGAGTGCTGTATAATACTATTATATACTGTGTTTAGGGGATAATGATGGGAGTTTGTAAATATTCAGCACAAATGAGCTTCCTTCCTTCCTTCCTCCCTCCCTTCCTTCCTTTCTTGTTTGGTATTTTTGATCAGTGACTGGCTGAATCCATGGGTGTGGAGCCCACATACATGAAGGGTATGTACAACTATATAATACTGAACTCAAACCTAAATGTAAGAACTAAAACTATAAAACTTTAGAATAAAATCCAGGTCAAGAACTTCATGACATTGGATTTGGCAATGATTTCTTAGATATAACACTATATCAGTCAGTGCTTACTAGAGAAAGAGATTTAATTCAAGATTTACAAATATGTAAGAATTTACAAGAACGGCTTACAATGGCTGCCCAAAGAGTCAGATGTGGAAGAGTACACAAGGTCTGTCTGCACACTGGAGATCTGCAGAATCTAGTCGAAGGTGTAATATCCCATGGGAGTCTGAATCAGGAGGCTGAAGGGTCTGCACTGGAAGCTAGGAGACAACCTCCATGATGAAGGCGAAGCCTAGAGCCCCTCAAAAAAAACAGAAGTGAGCCTTCCTTCTTTGTTTCTCTTTTATACCATTCTGGGGACAAGCCTCCCTAGGGTAGGTCTTCCACACCCAGAACTAGGCTGAGCAATTTATTTGGGCCTTTCTTACTGAAGTTGACACAATCAGTTAACTATCAAAAACACCAAAGGCACAGCCAACAAAAGAACAAAATAGACAAATCGGGCTGCATGAAAATTTGTAAATTTTGTGCATCTAAAGCACTACCCACTGTAAATGCCAACACAGAATGAGAGAAGATACTTCCACATTATACAATGGATAAAAGATAAATATCCAAAACATATAGAAAAATTTACAACTCAAGGACAAAAAAGCCAATACAAAAATAGTCAAAGAACTTGGAAGACGTTTTTCCAAAAAAGGATATAGAGATGGTCAATAAGTACATGAAAAGATGTTCAACATCAATAATCATTAGGGAAATGTAAATCAAATCTACAATGAGATAGCAGTTCATATCTACCCAAAATAAAAAGCCAGACCAAAACAAAACATTACGATAAATGAAATAAGTCAATTACAAAAAGATAAAAACTATAGGGCTCCACTTATATGAGATACTTAAAAGCTGCCAAGGTCATAGACACAGAGTGGGGGTTGCCAGGGATTTAGGGGTGCAGAATAGGGAGTTAGATGTTTAATGACCGCAGAGTTTCAGTTTTACAAGGTGAAAAGACTTCTGAAGGTCATGATGGTGCTGGTTGTACATTATGAAAATATTTAATACCACGGATCTATATGCTTCAAAAAAGGTGGCAAATTTTATGTTAGATATTTTACTACAATAAAAAGTGGAAAAAACAAAACAAGACCATAAGGAAAAAGATAACTAAACAACAAAACTTTGTAGATGGCTGAGAGCTCTCATTGGTGTGCATGGGCTCAGACTTCTGAAACCTCTTTAGGACAATGGGATCTGAGCATGGAGATGACAATGCCCTAATAGGAGAGAGACACTCAGGAGGTGCAAGGCTAATAGAGGCGACTGGATGGGAACGGGACCCTCTGATCTCTCCAGAT